TCCAAAAATATAAAAACCTGTTTCCGTTTACAGCTAACGGTGAAAAAGTGGACACATTATGTCCCATCTCTTTATTCCAAGTAGGGATGAAAGACAGAAATCCCTGATCCCTACAAACACAGGGGCCGACTTATCTGAAAATATTAGAACTACAGCTTAAAAAACAAAAAAGGGAAACAAAGAGAAAACAAACAGTAATATCAGTAAATCATTCACAGGGAAGCACCTACGGAAACTGTCCCTAATCCCTACACTAAAACAAAAACCATGCAGCTAATCCACCCTCTGATCCCATATTACTCAGTATAAGGAGTACTGTGTAAGATTAGATACACTGAAGTACAACTGAGCAGCTCTGTGTTTGTGCTTCAGGTTAGAGGTGAGCTGTGATGGATTCACCAACAGACAAACACATATTTACAAATGACTAACAGATGGGTTATCCAACAGTACAGTACAGTCTCCATCTTTACATTCTGTATTAACTACAGATATAAAAATAATATAAGAAAACAGTGGAAATTGGTTTAATGGGATTTTTTTTAATTAATTGAATTGTTTGATTTGTGATGAATGGCTGAAGTCATTTTGTTGGATTCTTCCAGGTTTAACCAAGACACTGATATTTAGTTTAATTTATAATGGATTCAATTTATAGCAACAGTTTGTGATAGAGTGAATAAAAATAGGAAAACTGCCAAATATAACCCAGTTAATGGTTTTCTTGTTGTTCCCCAGTGAAATAAAGTCACTCCATTTAAAAACTGGTGGTGGCAGTGCAGTAGAACCGTATTGACTTTAAATGAATCTAAAATGAGCCACAGACTGATGGTCAGAGTTGGGTTTAGATTCTCTGCACCGACTAACTCATTTTCTCTCTTTTTTGTGTGATAACAATGAGCAAATATGCAAAGTAAATTCTGGAGAAAATGTTGGAAAATGGCTTTTGTTTTATTCTGCATAAATATTTAATTTTGTAATAAAGAAACCTGCCCTCTGAGCTGCTGATTAGTTTGTAAATTAGGATTTATAGAAACAAAGAAAGAATTATGGATCAATAATAATAATAATAATAATAATAATAATAATAATAATAATTTAAAACTTATTTTTCTTCAACTACATAACAGATCCATTTAAGAAGTTGTTCGAAACTGAGAAAGTACACAAGGTCCTGACCTTTGGCCTGGTGGTCCTGACCTTTAGCCTGGTGACTGAAACACTTTCAGTTTCTTCTCATCTTCTCATTTGTTGCCTTCATGAGGTACTTCAGAACTCAGCTCTCCTGGTCTGCATCCCTGTTGTTTACTGTTCTTTTGGCCGTGGAGTCTCAGAGTTGGCCCGACTCCTGGAACAGCTGGTGCGGCCGTCACCTCTGCCTCCCAACTGCTTTCTCCTTTGTTGACCTGATAACACTGGGGCTGGCAGCTCTGGTTTGGAGTCACCTGTGGTAAATGTCTGTTGACTGTTGCTACTCTTTTCTAACTGAACCTAGAAGTTAGCCTCAGCTAACTTTCCAATTTCTTTTGCAACCAAATATTTGAAATGCATTTTTTTGTGTGATGTAGATAATGCTAAAAAAAATCAAAGAAAATCTTGTGTTATTTTTTCACTACAGTTGGTTCTTTATCGTGTGCAATAACTTGTAGGTAGTAGTACACAGAATGATGCTTTTTTTTTTTTTTGCTTTTTTCAAACTTACTCCTAATTGATTTATATTTTTCATTCTTTACTTGGTATTTTTTATTTCACCTTTTATTTTGTATGTATCATCTGACAGCCTCTCAGTAATCCCACCAATGATGACTCCATTTACATTCTGTCAGACAAAATGTGATTTTTATTTCATTTTATTTGAGTGTCCAGCCTCCAAGGGGTCGTCCTGAGAAATGCTGGCCCTCAGGCAAAAATACTTGGTGACCCCTCTTATAAAATGTTTGTGTACTTTACCACCTATTATGAGTCCAAACATAACACACACTAATAATTCCAGTGTGTTTGAACTGTGAAAATCTTGAATCTTGGAATGTTGGCATTTTAACTTATTCCCAGTGCTGTGGTAGGTCTGACTCTGTTTTTTTCTTTTCCTTCTCTTTCAGTTATGTTTGATAAAGTCTAATTCAATCCCATTTTCTGCCCTAAAATGCTTATGCCATTTTAATTATCTGTGTGTCACCGCACCACCCTGTGTCTCTTTGTGTGTCTGTCGCAGTCCCTCCTGAAGAACACTAAGCACCTTATCCATGCTAAGGACTAACAAAAGCAGCGGGAAGGCAGAGCAGCGGTAGCATGTTGTAATTCTCTACCACAGATTAATTATCTGTGTCTAAGCACCGACGCTGGGAAAAGAGACTCACACTGCTGCTGCTGCTGCTGCTGCTGCTGCTGCTCGTGGTGGTGGGGTCAAAGAATATATATGTTTTAACCCGC